CTACCGGGCAAATTTTAAAGACGACGCCTTTAAGCGGGCCCAAGGCCCGCTACATCATTCGATTATATGCTTCAGCAAATCGCGTAACAGAAATGGTCGGCCGCCGCCAGCAGGCCAAGCAGGCCCGACCCCTGCCGAACGGAGTTACCTGCGGAGTAAAGTGAAGCTGGCAACTTCGTTTGGCGGAAGAGCGGGCCTGGTTGTTTCTGGAATTAACGCGTATGAAAAGACGCCTTTGGACCAATCTGACTTGGGGCCGGCTTCGGCCGGCCAGGAAAACAACTTTCCGGCCGGAACATCCTCCGGTCGGAGCAACTTCCGGCCGGCGTCTTGAGACGGGCAGGGGAGAGTTACGGAACGAACTAATACGACCTTGCACATACAAGAAAACGTACATGTTTTTCAAACTTCTCGATGTAATCGATGGCTATTAGACATTTTTTTGCTGCGCCGCCAGTTTCATTACTAGAAGAAGGTCGTTAACTTGAAGAGGTAGAGGAAGAAGCAGCGACAAGGGTCTGACACCGAGAAGTAGTCAGAGGCGACGCAGTCGATGAGGTTGCCGCAAACAAAGACGTCTACGCACGTGGTTGGGAGGCTACCTAAGCAGATGCATTTGCAGTAGGATCTGAAGAAGGCGGGGAACCGATAACAGAGGCTTGAACAGTTCTCTTCTGGATATGAAATGGATCATTGGTTCCGAATGAACAGCATCGTGGTTTCGAGTCTCCCCCTAAAAGACATACATACGAACCTTTTACTCCGCAATTTTGTGCAAGAGTTTGCATTGTTCACCACCGAAAGGCGTGAGACAAGCCAGTGCAGTGATATCCAAGGGTTTCCCAATCAAATCGTTCCTCTGAATCAAAATAAAAAATAATGGCAGTTTTGGCTTTAGGTCCTAACTTTAAGAGTTCTACAAAATATGACCAGTCCCGTCAAAATCGGAGCATTGTTAGGATAGGGAAGGTGAAGTTAGGTAAGATTCCCTTGTAATGGTGTACGGGAATGATTCAAGACTCATTTGAGGACCTAACATCTTTATTTTGGCTTGATTTCTAAGAGTTCACAAAATAACAT